TCAGTTCTCCCTGTAAGAGCATCCCCTGACCTTCTCTGATCTAGATGTCCCTCCTCTGTGACCCCAGAGCCCTTGGATACTTCTGCCGTAGGATTTGTCAGCCGTACTGTAATCGCCGACTAATCTTCTGTAACTAATCACTGGACTTTGAGTTTCTGGAGTGCAAAGACTGTTTCTGGAATGCTTTCGGCACAAGTAACAATAGACTCAGAATGGTCTAAACAAATAGGGATTTATCATCTCCGGTTCAGGAGCCTGGAGGTTTGCAGTTTCCAGGATCGGTCCAGGCTGACTCTCCTGCCTTGCCCTCCGCGTGTCAAGTGCTCACGGGTTATACAGACTGGAAAGAACCACCATGGTTGTTTCAGTTTTTGAGCTTTGAGCACAGATATTTTGGCAAATATCTGTGGATTTGTTGAACAGTCTTCAATCCATTTATTGTGGTTTCTTCTAGGGAAGCTGACTTTGTGTTTTGAAAATAACAGCTCAGAGTTAGATGTCTACATGTGTTTGAAAGCACCCCTGCCCCTAATCTGGAAAAGGATTTCTCCATTTTCATACAACTCTAATAATTCATGGAAGCAAGGCTGCTTCGGAGAAATCCTGTGATGGGTTGGTGGTCTGGAGTTTCCAGCCTCAGGCACTGACCTCGGCCCTTTGGTGGCAGCTGTGGACCAGAAATTAGGCCCAAAGCAGCTTCACCTTCCTGAGCCTTCGGGGGAGGCCGGCTTCTCATCCCACTTACCCTATTTTAGTCACAATTCGAATGTGCTTAATTATCTAGTTAATTGCTGAGGAGGCTTATTAAAAAGCACGTCATTAGAAAAGGGAGAGTGGACGGAGGGTCCAGCTTGAGGGGAGCCAGCACACAAGTGATCCCACCCAGAGCAGCGGGTCATACGACTGGTTTCCATAGTGATGATGATCCTTGAATCACCCGGGAAAGCTACGAGTATGGTCAGTCTTCACTGCTTAAGAAGACAGGTAGCTATACTACGTGAAAAATAACATGCAAAACTACATAAGTGTGATCTCAGAAAGATGTTACATATAGGAGTATATGGATTAAAATATAAGAATATACAGATTAAATTACGGGCAGGAAGTAACGCTGTAATACCGAATATCTCTGGGTGACAGGATTTTTCTCTCTTTTTTAAGATAGTTTTGTGTATTTTCTAAATTTTCTACTGAGCACCGAAGGGGGGGTCAGAATATGTCACCCCAAAAGATGCCACTTCGACATAAGGATTATTTTGAGCTGAAAGCAACTGAAAAGTAACAGACACAAAGAAAAGTTCTACTTTCCCCTCTCCACCAGGAAGGGCGGGGCGATCCTTAATCACCCAGAGGAGGCCCCCGAGGAATCGAGGTAACGCCCTTTGCTCACAGCCCGCACCCTGCATCAGTTTCCCCCTCCCAGAAGTGCAAGACCCCCTCCTTTGTCTTGTCACTTCCCTGCAGCATTCGTTGTTCATTGGTTAAGATGCTCTGTGAACCCGAGTCCCACCACCCCGTGGGGCCGCCACCACTGCGCTCTCCTGCGTGGTTGTGAGATGCACCTGTTCAGAAGCCTCTGTTTTTCTCTCCTTAATCAGTCTCTCGTCAGCCTGATTTTCAGGGCCCCAGCCAATGAACCAAGGTGGGTTTGTTTTTCCTCCCCTACATTGTTATTACTTTTCATTTTAAATACTTATAAAAGGATTGTAGACATTCAGAGTGATTCTTGTTCAACTCTTGGCCTCCTGATAATGCAGTTTCCCCACATTTTGCCTCTGCCTTTGTTAAAAATGATCAAATGATGCTCTTTATGGCGGCTGCCTGAGAAGTCCTACTTGTTACGGACGCCGACCCTCCTGGTGGCTATTTCCTTAGGTGTCTCGGAGGCCGCAGCTGTGGGCCCCTATCCGTGGGCTTTGGTTGTAGGAATCCTGAGCCGTCTTCACTGCGTCCCCCCGCAGAGGTTGTAGTCTAGCCCCCTGAGCAGCCTGGGGTTACTTGTTATGTTGCTTCCTGGCTTTGGGGGAGTGCTGCGGTCACAGCTTCAGGGCACACTTTCCTACGGCCAGGGCTCGGGCAGACATGCTTCCTTGCTGTCCTCCGCTGTTGGTGCCGTAGGGGAGCAGGTACCATCCCAGAATAGGTCTCTTTGGCATATTAATAGTTTTAAGCTGGTTATTCTCCGGGAAACAGCAGGCGTAGAAGAAATTCTGAAAACCAAGTAGGAGTCACCGTTTTGTAAGAGACTGGGACATTTACCAGGGGAATCTCGCTATGCAAGGGCATCCCTCTCGCTGTACCAGGACACGAGGACGACCGAATCTCTAGCAGCTCCTAGGGGCGGAGAAGGTAAGGACTTGAAGAACCTTGCGCTTGTTTACCCGGCCTTCCCTGGTCACCGCTCATAACCGACTCTGCCCATCCTCAACATCCTCTTCTGCTTTGGGCGAGGACGGTATCCAAGGTGAGGGCTTCGGCCGTTTGAACAAGGTACTCAGGTTGTCTGGGTCTCTCCCGGGTCCACATGTTACTAGACTTTGCTGGATTTTCTCCTGTTAATCTGTTTCATGTCAGTTTAATTCCCAGACCAGAAAGAAGAGCCTAGGAAGGCAGAGGGAATCTCTTCCTCCCCAACAGTGGACCGATGTTTTGCTCGTCCATTCTTTTTTTTTTTTTTTTTTTATATATTTATTTAATTTTTGGCTGCGTTGGGTCTTCTTCGTTGCTGGGTGCGGGCTTCTCATTGCGGTGGCTTCTCTTGTTGGGGAGCACAGGCTCAGTAGCTGTGGCTTGTGGGCTTCAGTAGTTGTGGCACACAGGCTTCAGTAGTTGTGGCACGCGGGCTTCAGTAGTTGTGGCTCACGGGCTCTAGAGCGCAGGCTCAGTAGTTGTGGCGCACAGGCTTCATTGCTCTGCAGCATGTGGGATCCTCCCGGACCAGGGCTCGAACCCGTGTCCCCTGCATTGGCAGGCGGGTTCTTAACCACTGTGCCACCAGGGAAGTCCTACTCGTCCATTCTTTACCTGAAGGTGCATTCCTTCGAGGCTCTTGGTGTCTCTGAGGGACTGACTTGTGTGTGTGTTAAATCCTAAGTTACCCAGAGCAGCAGCCACCTAGGACCACAGAAATATCAGCTCTGATTTTTTTTCTCCCCAGCACTGGGATTTTTTTTTGAGCCCAGCTGTGCATTTCATAGAAGTTCTCAACCTTGGAGGTCTACTGTCATCACCTGGGAAGCTTTTAGATGTTCTCATGCCCAGGCTCCGATCCCAGGCATCCCAGACCAAACTCCATGAGAATCTCTGGGGATGTTTTTAAAACTGCCCAGGGATCTCCTTGTGCCACCGAGGCTGGGATCACTGATTTAAAATGTTGTTGTTTCTGTTACGCAATGGTGTGTGTGTATTTATTTTTTTTCTACTGGTGGTATTTTCAAGTTACTTTGTCAGAAATAGGTGCCCATCATGTCTAATGAGAAAAAAAATTCTCTTAAGATGAGATAGGAAGGAAACCAGCCTTTTTAAGTTCCTGTTATATGCTAGGCACAGGGCTTCAATCTTTCGCATGTGTTATCTCATTTAATACTCAGAAAAATCCTGCAGGGTGGGTGGTGGTTTACTTGTGTCTGCAAATAAGAAAACTGGCTTAGAGAAACTGAATAGTGTCCAGGTCCCACATCTCACGAATGGCAGAGCCAGACTTGGGCCCGTGACATGCCCGAGCCCATGCCCTTTTTCCTTACGCTGTGGCATCTGTGAGAGAGATTTTCCATAAAAATCGTTTAAAATAAAAATTGGCACTTGGGTTATACAGGAGCATATGGTAGCTCTATTTTCAGTTTTTTAAGGAACCTCCATACTGTTCTCCATAGTGGCTGCCACAACTTAGCATTCCCACCAACAGTGTAGGAGGGTTCCCTTTTCTCCACACCCTCTGCAGCATTTATTGTTTGTAGAATTTTTGATGGCCGTTTCTGAATCGTGTGAGGTGATGCCTCGTTGTAGTTTTGATTTGCATTTCTCTAATAATTAGTGATGTTGAGCATTTTTTCATGTGTTTGTTGGCCATCTGTATGTCTTCTTTGGAGAAAGGTCTAGTTAGGTCTTCTGCCCATTTTTTGATTGGGTGGGTTGTTTTTTTTTTGATCTTGAGTTGTATGAGTTGTTTGTAAATTTTGGAAATTAATCCCTCGTCGGTTGCATCAATTTTCAAATATTTTCTCCCATTCTGTAAGGGAGAAAATTCTGTCTTTCTGTTTTGTTTATGGTTTCCTTTGCTGCGCAAAATCTTGTCAGGTTAATTGGATGCCAAGTTTCAGGTACCTGTTAAATGTGCTCATTGAGAATACTTTCTCTTCCCCCACCACCAAGGTTGCTCTGTTCTACTCACTTTATCTCACTTCTGATGAGGCTCAGCTGATTTTGACTAGTGGATTGTTGTTTGGGAAAAGTCTGACTCAGTTAGTTCTTAATGTAAATCAACGTGGAGTAAATAATTTAGTTGTCTTCCTTTTAACTGTCCTGTGTCGTGAAGGGATGCTGATTATTAAAAGCAGGTCTGCTCACCCCTTTTCAGGGCCCACCTTTGTCCGCTGGGAGGGCCGTGTGGGTGTGTTGGAGGGGCGGGGAGGGAGCGAGGGTACAGAGATGCTGGGGCCCTGAGCGGCCCCCGTGGCACAGCTGGCGTGGGGTCGCTGCGTGGCTCGCCGCCCCCTGCGGCTCTGTTGAGGGCGTGCGGGTTTGGTGGGCCATCCTCCCCCACCCCCAGTGATGGGGCGTCGGGTGCGCACGCCCGATTCTTCTCTCCGTCTCACCTTCCCTCGGGTCGGCTCAGCTCTGGTTTGTGACTCGGCAGTGCTTGGGGGGCTTTATCTCTGCCTCGAGCCTAGGAGAATGACCTCTCTGGTGGAACGTCTGGGTTAGGCTTTTCTGGAGGGTTGTCATGTCATTTCCTTTGGGTGGAACCAAACCGCCTCTGAGTCTGTCTTCTTCCTTGGCAGCTCTCCGTCTGGGTCCTCTGGCCGCGTTTCGCAGAAACCCAGCAGGATGGCCGCAAACAAGAGCAAGAGCCAGAGCTCCCTGGCCCTTCACAAGGTGATCATGGTTGGCAGCGGAGGGGTGGGCAAGTCGGCCCTGACCTTGCAGTTCATGTATGATGAGGTAAGACACGCCTCCCCGTCGGGCCTGCTGTCGCCACGTCCCTCCTCCAGCTGCGTCCCTGGGCCCGTTCCCTGGGGCTTATCAGGGTCATGGGGCAAGCTGTGCTGCGGTGGCTTCTGAGTAGCTTTCCAGAGGGTTCTCACCAGGGGAAGAGCTGCACTGCTGATGTTAGGCGAGTCATTTCGGCTCAGGCAGGGACATGCGGGGTCCCCGCTCGCATCGTTTCCGTCATTGTATTATGACAGGAGCTGGGGGGAGGTGTCGAAAGGGCGGGCCAGATGCTTAGCTGTCACAGCCAGCCCGTACAGGCACTGAAGGGGACAGCTGAGCTGCCCTGTAGAGCTCCATCTCTTCTCCTTGCTCTGGTTCCCCCGGTTCAAGCTAAAGCCCCAAGCTTGCATCACTTCCTGGGGGTGATGGCGCTGCTGCCGAGTCCAGCGCTTGACGGCCGGTGGCTGGTAGTGCAGCAGCGTGTCCAGACCAGAGCCGGAGCCTTGGGGCCTCTCACTGGCACCTTCTTTGCGTGGCTCGTGCCTTCCAGAATTTGCGGCAGAGGACGCTGTCACCACGATCAGCTGAGATGACCCTCTTTCCACCAGGCTCCGCCCCGTCCAGCTTCCTGCCACACAGGGTGTGCTGCAGTGACCGTGACATTTTGGGATGTGGCCAAGGGAAGCCGACTTAAGGATGCAGTTAGCAGGGGCCCTGGCCTTGTGATGGGGGCGCGGGGAGGGCTGTGTCCAAGGCGCCCGGCACGGCAAGTGAGTGGGCAGCGGCTCCAAACGCGGTGTCAGAGGCCGGTCTGGAAGGTTTTTCCAGGTCTCATGGCTCCTTACAGGGAAGACGGATGCACGGCCTAAGTTTGCCAGTAGCTCCCAAACCGCCCTTACTAGGAACATCACCTAGTCGTAAAGCCGAAGAAACCTTGCTAAACCGTCATGAAAGAAAAACTCGGACCAGCTGTGCTAGAGGAAGGACTGAATTATTTTTCAATTCTCTATAGGCAACGTCGGCTTGGCCAAAAAGTGCGTTCGGGTTTTTCAGACCATCTTGCAGTGTGGCCCGGAACGAACTTTTTGGCCAACCCAGTGCTTCAGGATCCCTGGCATCTGACGAGATAGTTCAGACGCATACAGCTAACAGAGTAGGACGGTATTGCAGAGGTGTGTCAGCAGTTAACGAGCAAGACTGTTATTCTGCTGGATTTGGGGTGCGAGTGGTATCTGTAGTATTGCCATGAAACAGATCCCCACACGGACATCCGTCACCTCCGGTTTCCAGGAGTCTGGCCCGGCCGAGCGTGGTGCTGCCCAGGGCCTCAGGCTGTGGGGAGGGTGTCCGGCCTCCTGCGAGCCCGCGGGCTGCTGGCGGGTACAGGATGGGGCCCCGGCTGCTGGAGGTCGCCCCCAGTTCTCTGCCGCATGGCCCTTTCTGTAGACAGCTCTTTCCATGGCCGCTTGCTTCTCCCCGGCCAGCAGGGGAGTGTCTGGTAGCTAAGACGGATCCTTCCACACAAAAACGTGGTCATGGGGTCGTGTCATCACGCTGCCTGTACACTGTTGGTTGCAAGCCAGCCTCAGGGCCTTGTGCGCTCAAGCAGAGAATGCCATACAAGGGCGTGACCCATCGAGGGGCCCCGAGGGTTGGGTTCACCAGCGTATTTGTGTATTTTACAAACTGTGTAATGAATTATAATTTCTTTTCTCCTTCTCGATAATCACTTTTGTATTTACCATTATATGTGTAATCTTGTATTCTTTTCTTAAAAGAGGGCCCTGCAATGAATAAGCTTCAGACCAAAACCAAAACCTCCAGACCATCTCCCCCTGGGTCACACCCCACTGTATCTTATCATGAGAAACTTTTCGTTTGTATGTTTCTACATGACCAATTTCTTTTTTTTTCTTTTTTAATTGAAGTCTAGTTGATTTACAATGTTGTGCTAATTTCTGCTGTACAGCAAAGTGATTCAGTCATACATATATATATATACATTCTTTTTTTATATTCTTTTCCATTACAGTTCATTACAGGATATTGAATAGAGTTCCCTGTGCTCTACAGTAGGACCTTGTTGTTTATCCATCCTCTATACAATAGTTTACATCTACTAATCCCAAACTCGCAATCCATCCCTCTCCTACCCTCCCTCCCCCTTGGCAAGTCTGTTCTCTATGTCCGTGAGGGTGTTTCTGTTTCATAGACACGTTCATTTGAGCCATATTTTAGATTCCACATAAGAGCGATATCATATGGTATTTGTCTTTCTCTTTCTGACTGACTTCACTTAGTATGAGAATCTAGGTCCACCCATGTTGCTGCGAATGGCATTATTTCATTCTTTTTTTATAGTTATTGTAAATAGTGCTGCTATACACACAGGGGTGCATGTATCTTTTTGAATTAGAGTTTTCTCTGGATATATGCCCGGGAGTGGGATTGCTGGGTCATATGGCGGCTCTGTTTGTAGTTTTTTAAGGAACCTCCGTACTGTTCTCCATAGTGGCTGCACCAGTCCACGTTCCCACCAACAGTGCAGGAGGGTTCCCGTTTCTCCACACCCTCTCCAGCATTTGTATACTTTTGTTTTGGAGGGTTGTTTTTCTTTATTTTACACTAGGGTCCAAAGTGGGGAAGTCTAGCAGAATCTGTTTAATTTACGTCAAACTTTTTTTTTTTTTTTTAGCTTATTTATTTATATATTGGCTGCGTTGGGTCTTCATTGCTGCCTGGGCTTTCTCTAGTTGCAGCGAGCAGGAGCTACTCTTCGTTGTGGTGCGCAGGCTTCTCATTACGGTGGCTTCTCTTGTTGCAGAGCACGGGCTCTAGGGCCTGCGGGCTTCAGTAGTTGTGGCTCAGGGGCTGAGTTGCTCCAGGGTTTGTGGGATCTTCCCTGACCAGGGCTCGAACCCGTGTCCCCTGCATTGGCAAGCGGATTCATAACCACCGCGCCACCAGAGAAGCCCACGCCAAACGTTTTTGCATAAAAGAAGAGAGGCAAGTTACAAAATCTGCCTTGGAAGTCTTTATTTGTTTTTCCTTAAAAATGTGACTTGCTTCCTAAAGATTCCTTATTTTCCTTCTGTAACAGAGGCTGGGGAGGAAGGGACAGGGAGGAGAGGAATCAAAGCGTGGGAGACGTGGTTAGAAGAACAGGTGTTAATGGAGATGGGGGGGATTCTGTGTGTCCTGCCCCCACCGCTGAATGACGGGCAGTGTCTGGGGACATTTGGGGCCGTCACAATGGGGGGATGTGACTGGCCGCCAGTGGGTGGAGGCCGGGGATGCTGCCGAACGTGCTGCAGTGCGCCGGAGGGTCCCACACGGGAGAGTCGTCCAGATCGGAAGGTCTGTCGCGCTGCTGTCTGGGGGGCGGCCTGGCCGGAGTCAGGTCAGGGAAGGAAGGGGAGGCTGCTCCACCACGCGGTGACCGAGGGGCCCCGGGTGCCAAATCTGAGAGCACGTTCGGACCCCGAGCCCGACTCCGGCAGTGAGGTTGGAGCCATCCTGTCTGGCCTGGTGGCTGACACCGCAGGAGACCAGGGCAGTCTAGATGGGATGTGTCACTTTCCCTGTGTATGTTTCTGTGTGTACAGCAAGAGGGAGGGGAAGAGATGCAGAGGAATCAAGAGCTTTTTCTCTTCTTCCTAGTTTCTTCAGAGAACCAAGGGGAAGCTGTGCTTGGCCTTAGTCTCTGTTTCCCACTGGCTAACATATGTGGGGACCAGAAAGCAGCAGTTGTTGAAGGATTGAAGGAATGGTAAAATAAAAGCAGCAGAAGAAGAGAGATGTAGTGCTTGTGTCGATTCCCCTAACGGTGCTGCCCGCTAGAACCTTCTGTGATGCAGGGGGTGTTCTGTATCTGTGCTGTCCAACACCTGTGGCCGCTGAGCCCCTGGTGCCCGGCTAGTGGCTGCGAGGTTGAAGGGTCTGGCTCTAGAATCACAGTTTTGAAGCTTGAAGAGACCTTAGGGGTGACGGCCAAGCCCAGCTGATTGCAGACTCCCCCGGGGCTCCTTTACCAAATCCCTCTGGAGCTGCAGCCGAGTCGTTCTTTTCCTGAAGCTCTGCCAGCAGTTCTGAGGAGCGGCCAGGTGTGGCTCCCCCTGTCCGGGAGGCCAGAGAAAAGGAAACTGAGTCCCGTGCTCGGGATGTGGGTTGGCTGACGCCTCCCGAGCCACTCGGACCCTTTGTTCTTGGTCCAGTGCTTTGCCCTTTGTTTAAAAAAACCTTTCAGCTTCTGTGGTGGAATCTCCAGGAAAGTTGGATCACGGAAGCAGCCACAGCCTCGGAAGTCTTTATTTTTGTCTAAGTTCTGACTTAGAAAGATGGGAAGGGACTGCCAGTGAGGCAGAGGGAGCGCTTGCCCTTGGAACCCCTGGCCTGACGCACTCGCAGACTGCTTAGCTGCCTGCCTGTGCCGGTGAGGTGAGGCTGGCCACGGGCGGTTCGGGCAGCAGCCACGCTCGCGAGGAAGGTGTGAGAGGCTGAACTTAGACCGCGTGTCTGGGCGTCTGCGGCGGATCACGGCAGACCTGCAAGCCGGCGCGGTGGCTCCTGCTAACAAGGAATGGAGACGTCAAGGCTGTGATCTAAGCTCCCACAGTGAGCGCCCTTCCCCGGCGCAGGCGCACCTCCCCGCTGCCGTATGGGGGACGTTCTGACTTCCAGCGTTAAAGGAGCGGGTGGGACTCTTGCTGCTTCATCCTTGGAAGTGCAGGAACAGGCAACCAAGGTGCTTTAGGGTGTATGGAGACCTTCACACTGGGTGTTGCAGTGGTTTTTTTTGGGGGGGGGCGGGTCATGTATTTGTCTCTCTGGAAGGACGTTAACAGGAGGACACCACTGTGAAGCATAGGCAAATTTTCATATTTTCTCTATTTTAAGATTGTTATATGAGTGTAAGAGACTCTTGAGTTCTATTTATTTTTCAAATTAATTAATTCATGTATTTTTGGCTGCATTGGGTCTCCGTTGCTGTGTGCGGGCTTTCTCTAGTTGCGGCGAGCGGGGGCTGCCCTTCGTTGCGGTGCACGGGCTTCTCATTGCGGTGGCTCCTCTTGTTGTGGAGCACGAGCTCTAGGCGCGCGGGCTTCAGTAGTTGTGGCACATGGGCTCAGTAGTTGTGGCTCGTGGGCTCTAGAGCGCAGGCTCAGTAGTTGTGGCACGCAGGCTCAGTAGTTGTGGCGCACGGGCTTAGTTGCTCCACGGCATGTGGGATCTTCCCGGACCAGGGCTCGAACCCATGTCCCCTGCATTGGCGGGCAGATTCTTAGCCACTGCACCAACAGGGAAGTACCCTCTTTAGTTTTAGTATTAGGTTATCTTTAGATTTAAAATCATTTGAATTAGTAGCTATTGATTGACAACACAAGGTCCTTCAGAGGGTCCCTAAGTTCATATCGATATTTTCAACTCGATTTTTAAATTTTTAAAAAATTTAAATGCTAGCTTTATGAAGAATTCACGCACCATGAAATTCACCCTTTTAAAGTGAACCATTCAGTGATATTTAGTGTATTCACGCAGATGTGCGGCCATCACCACAATGAAATCGTAGAACATTTGTATCACCCCAAAAAGAAGAGCCCTGCACGGTAGCAGCCGTTCCTCATTACCACTTCCCCCCGCCGGCCCCGGGCCTGGCAACCGCTTTCTGTTTCTATGGATGTGCTGTTCTGGACACTTTACATACGTGGAATCAGACAGTGTGTGACCTTTATGTCTGGCTTCTCTCACTGAGCATCACATTTTGAAAGTTCATCCATGTTATAGCTGTATCAGTGCTTCATGCTTTAAAAAAAATTGAGATGTAACTCACATACCATAAAATAGACCCTTTTAAGTGTACAATTCAGTGGTTTGTAGTATAGTCACAGAATTGTGCAACCATCACCACTGCTTCCAGAACATTCTCATACCCCAGAAAGACACCCCTTACCCATGGGCAGTCCCTCTCCACCCCCTTCCCCCAGCCACCACAAATCTGCTTTCAGTTTCCATAGGTTCGTCTGTTCTGGATGTTACATATAAATAGACTCATATATTATGTGATATTTTGTGTCTGGCTTCTTTTACCAACCATAATTTGTCAAGGTTCATCCACGTTGTAGCATGAATCAGTACTTCCTTACTTTTTACGACTGAACAATACTCCAGTGTCTGGATATGTCACGTTTTCTGTATCCATTTGTCAGTTGATAGATATTTGGATTGTTTCTACCTTTGGCCATTGTGAGCAATGTTGCTGTGAACATTCATCTACAAATTTTTGTGTAGACGTGTCAGATTCTCTTGGGTGTGCACCTAAGTGGGAAATTTCCTGGATTATATGGTAACTCTGTGTTTAACTTTGTGGGACCTACGGAGAGGCCGTGCTTTCCATGGCAGCTGCACCGTTTCACAACGTATGATGGTTCTGATTTCTCTGCCATCTCGCCAATGCTTGTCCATCTTTTTTTTTTTTTTTTTTTTTTTTTTGCGGTACGCGGGCCTCTCACCGCCGCGGAGCGCAGGCTCAGCGGCCATGGCTCACGGGCCCAGCCAGTCCGTGGCATGTGGGATCCTCCCGGACCGGGGCACGAACCCGTGTCCCCTGCATCGGCAGGCAGACTCTCAACCACTGTGCCACCAGGGAAGCCCTTGTCCATCTTTTTGATTATAGCATCCTAATGGGTGTAAAATGGCATCTCATGGTTTTGATTGGCATTTGCCTAATGACTAATGATGCTGAGCATCTTTTCATGTGCTTATTGGCCATTTTGTATATCTTCTTTGGAGAAATGTCTGTTCAGATCCTTTGTCTATTTTTTCTTCATTTTTTTTTTCTTTGCCTATTTTTAAATTGGCATTTAATTTCATTTAATTTTAAAACTGTCTTTTTATTGTTGAGTTTTAAGAGTTAATTTATATATTCTGGGTACAAGTTCCTTATTAGATAAATGCTTTTCAGATATTTTCTGCTATTCTGTGGGTTGTCTTTTGACTTTCTTGGTGGTGTCCTTTGAGGCATGAAATTTTAAAATTTTGATAAAGTCCAATTTATCTATTTTTTCCTTTTGTTGCTTGTGCTTTTGGTGTCATATCTAAGAATGCATTGCTAAATCCAAGGTCATGAAGATTTCCACCTTATGTTTCCTTCTAGGAGTTTATAGTTTCAGCTCTTGCATTTAAGTCTTTGATCCATTTTGTGTTAATTTTTGTATGTGATGTGAAGTAGGAATCCATCTTCATTCTTTTACATGTGGAGATATCCAGTTATACCAGCATGAATTCAAGTTTAATAGTACATTGCTATCATTAACTTTTTCCCCTGAATATCTTGACTTATACTATCATTAAAATAGTTACTTATTTTATGTATAATGCAATATAAGGAAAATAGCTTTGAAATATTCATATCATTGCTACTGAATAATATAACCACTGAGGGAAGTTCAACATTTCTTTGAATTTTTTTTGTCCTTAGTCTCTTTTAGTGGGATGTATTCTATCCAAATATTCTTTTTTAAAGTCTCTTGGATTAATTCTTTCTCTGTCGGGTTACATTACCAATATAATATTCATTTACGTTCATTTGCTTCAGTTTTCCTGTTTAACAGCTTTTAAATTTGTTTTGTTTTGTCTTCCCAGGGTGTGTTTTCCCTCATTTTTTATAGCTGCATAGTATTGCATTCTGTGGATCCCTGTCCTGGGCATTTGGGTGCTTTTTCATCTTTTGCTGCTACACGTGGTGCCACAGTGGATAACCTTGTATGGTGCTGTGCAGGTGTGTCTGTAGATTAGATTCCTAGGAGGAGGACTGCTTCTCTCGCTCGATTAGGTGTCGCCATGTTGGTCTCCGTACAGACTGTACTGCTGTCTCCTGCCATTAGCAATGTGCAAGAGGTGTGTTGTCACACTTTGGGATTTTTGCCAGTCTGTTAGGTGAAAAATGGTATCTCCATGTAGTTACCATTTTCTTTATTAGTGAGGATGAACATCTTTTCATATGTTTAACATCATATGTGTGTATTTTTCTGTGAATTGTTTATGTCTGTTGCCACTTTTTCCCATCGGCTTGTTGATCTTTTTTTACTCCCTGTTTCTAGTTAATATATAGTCCTCTATGATATGGGTTTAAATACTTCTTCCCTGCTTGTCATTTGTCTTTGTTTATAGTGTGTTGTGTCACACAGAAGTTTTAAAACTTTTTGTGTAGTCTAATTTATCAATTTTTCCTTACATGGCTTCTGGATTTTGGGTCATAGTTAAAAAGGCCTTCCCTACTTCAAGGTAATAAAGGGATTTCACCCATGTTTTCTTCTAGTACTTGAGGGTTTTATTTTTAACATTTAATCTTTGACCCATTTGGAGATCTTCATGTTGTATTGTTATTTAAGCCTCTGAGTACCTCTTGACCAGTTACTTTTCAGATGAGTTTTATAATTCTGTTGATTATGAATAAGAGTTCCCGTTTCTTACCCTTGCCAGTGTTTAACTGTAATTGTATACTGACAAGAATATTGCCAAGCGTTCTGCTCTCTGCTTGGTCTCTTCTCATCTGTAAAATGGGGATATCTGTTCTTATTGTTTAAAAACAAAATAACAAATGGTGGAGTTGGAAGCAGCAAAGAAGTACTACCCAAGGAGTCTCCGTACCCTTAGTGCCTTACACGTGGCGTGGTAAACATCAGCGCTCAGTAAAGCCGCAGTTGGCGATAAGCAAAGCACCCATATATTGAAATTCTTTTGGCAGCTGTTCTTTGTCTTAGAACTTTGCTACCTGCTAATCGTGTCGTCCGTTTGCCCAGTTCGTGGAGGACTATGAACCTACCAAGGCTGACAGTTACAGGAAGAAGGTGGTCCTGGACGGGGAGGAGGTCCAGATAGACATCCTGGACACAGCCGGACAGGAGGACTACGCGGCCATTCGCGACAACTACTTCCGGAGTGGGGAGGGCTTCCTCCTCGTGTTTTCCATCACCGAGCATGAGTCATTCACAGCCACTGCCGAGTTCAGGTGCGTCCCGGGGGGCCCTCTGCCTTCCGTTCATGGCAGCCTGGGAAGGAGTTTGGGGCAGAGTGGAGTACGTCTCAGGACGAAGTCTCTCTGAAGAGCTTGCTGGGGCTTTTTGGATCTTGGCACTTTATAGCTCGTCATTTGTTACGCTCTCTTTGGGCTTCCCAGGTTTGTAACTTCCACATGTAAATGATCTTAAGGATCTGTTGTTCCTAGAGAGGACGAAGCCGTTCCATACAGCCAAGAGCCGGTAGTTTTGTTTTCATGTAAATCCCGAGAGACAGGGGTTGGTAAGCGTTAACTATCTTTATCTTTTTCCCAATTTTGCTAGAAAAGCAACAGTTCTGCTCTACTCTGAGGCTTCTGAAACCTCAGATGTCGGGAGAGTGGACGCCTTGGGTCAGAGTGACCGTGTGCTGCTCCCTTGGGGACATTAGCTCAAGTGGGGCAGAAAGCACCGGCTTCAGGGTCACATAGACCCGGGGGGCCTGAGTCCCCGCCCTGTCACGGTACTGTGACCCAGGGCAAGTGTCCTTAGCGTTCTGTCTCTTTACCTGAAAATGCTCTTGTTGATGAGATGAAATAAAATGACGCTTTAGACTTAGATTTCCTAAGGAGAACCCTTCATGGTGTGGCGGCCCCAGGCTTTTCTCACTGTGTGGGCACAAGGTGAGTATCCACCGCTGTAATTTATTTAACATCGCGGTATGTCGAGATCCCTGAAGTTCATTTTGTTACAAAGAAGTAGTGAGCTGTGTGGGCCTAGTACTCCCAGGGATTCTAGTGGGAAGGGTCTCTCTCTTTCCCCATCCTTTTCCCATCTCGCTTATACACTTGTGCGTTTTCATCCCCCTTCTTAGACACAGATCCATCCAGGTGACTTTTTATTTATTTTTTGGTCGCACTGTGTGGCGTGTGGGATCTTAGTTCCCCGACCAGGGATCAAACCCGTGCAGTGAAAGTACCGAGTCCTAAGCGCTGGACCGCCAGGGAAGTCCCCAGGTGACTTTTCATTCTAAGAACCAGAACTAGAGTCTAATAGGGAACTAAAAAGGAGAAGAACAACCAGTACTCTTTTTTCATTCTTTAGCAAGTTCTGGTCAGAAATGAAGGTCATCAGCCCAAGGTGAGAACGAGGAAGCTAAACGTCCCCCCAGGATGTGGAAGGAGCTTCGGTGGGCGGGGGTGGGGGGGCAGCGCTCAGGAGCGGCCTCGGGGGAGACGGGCAGAGAGAGGAGTCAGGCGGAGCCTCAGTTGTTGTCTTCGTGGCCCCAAGCCTCCCGAGGGCGGATAACGCAATTCTTGGCAGCTGTGGTGTGTGTGTCGTGAGCTGTTAACCGGCTAGGACTCCCTATGAGAAATCCTGTTATTTGTAGCTCTTCCTGATGTACCGAGAAGCTTCTGTAAGTGGCTGTAGTCCATGTGTGCACAGTTGGCTTTGCATCTACACGATCCTGCTGTTATGCCTTCTTGAGGACCGAACAGGATGGATGCACTCACCGCCCTGTTTTCTTCCCCGTCCGGAGCCTTGGGTTTCCCATCGGCTCCGTGAGTCACCCATTAAGGAAGTGCTGGCTGCGCCCCCACTCACTGCACACACGCAGATACACTCGTGCCTCCTTGCCTCCTCCTGGGAGGAGGGTTTTGGTTATTATGAAAGAAGAGAAAGGACAGGTGATGACCTAAAAGAAAAAGGAAGGGGAAGTTAGTGCCTGTGGCTTGAACTCTGGGAAGTTCGATAAAAGCCCCAGGCTGCCCCGGTTTCCCACAGTGCTAGAAGCAGAGGGATGTGGGTAGATCCTTGGAGCCCTTATGCTTAAACTCAGTCGCTTCATGCCTGTTAGCAGTTTTAAAACAGCATTTCTGCATTTATCTTCCAAATGGAAAGCCTCCAACATAAAACAAAATGTCAGTACACCCTCTCTTCCTTGAAACTTTTAGGCTTATTACAAGAGACCAGAGCTTGGTACTCCTGTTTCTCGTTCAGTATGTTTATCAATGAGGTGATTAGTCACGGCTCTGCAAGACTAACGAGCCAGAATGTGATCAGTTTTTACTGTTCACCATGTACACTGATCACTAACTTGTAAGCATAGCGCACGCTCTTTGACCCCTGTGAAATGCAGGGTGTGGCAGAGCTCCTCAGAGACAGGTTTCAAGCATCTGCTTTTTTCATTTTGCTTAAAGGGGGGGATAAATCAGGAGCTTGGGATTAACAGACACACAGTCTGCATACAAAGTAGAGAACCAACAAGGACCTGCTGTACAGCACAGCCAACTCTATTCGCTATCTTGTAATAACCTGTAAGGGTGAAGAATCTGAAAAAGAAGGGATACATGTATATGTGTAACTGAGTCACTGTGCTGCACACCTGAAACTAACATGACACTGTAAGTCCACTACACCCCAATTGTAAAAAATTGATATCTGGTAGTGAAACCGACTGTATGGGAAAAAATTTAAACGTTTTTATTATTATGAAATGTCACCCCGTATTATATAAAAGTCAGTGCAAATCCCCACCAAATACGTTTTTGAAGGGGTCTCTTTTGGGAATGTGTGGGAATACAGAAGTAGGCAGGTTCCCCCTGGTTCAAAATAATGGAAGCGGAATATTTAATTTCTTGAATACTCTGTTTTTCCAAAATGATTTTAGGTAGCGGATTATTTTTAGTAGAGGTAAACTTTAATGTGCTACAGGTAGCAGTCATTTTAGAGAAGATGTTTTTGAAGTACTTTTCCATAGGCCTTATAGTATTTCATTTTTTTCCCCCCACTTTCTAGTAGAAAAATAAGGCATGTTGAAGTAGGGCTCCTGCCTCACAGACCTGGGCGGGGGTGGGGTGCACAGGTGCAGACAGAGTTGAAGCAGGAGTGGCACAAAACCGTACTTACCTTTACTGTGAGCGTCCCTTGAATGTTGCTTTGCTTCTCTGTAATATTCTACTTGACTGAGGAAAAAGAATCACCGGTTTTTGTCCCACTGCATTGATTTCACGGTCTGCTAACAACAGACCATACGAAAATCCCTGGGTTTCATGGCTTTTATTCTCACAAAGAAATCAGACTTTTTTTCCCCCCAGGGGCATTATTAAGCGTTTTGTATATGAAGATACTTCTTTCATCTGGTTTCTACCACAGAGGGTCCCAGGTTTCTCCTTTGTTTTGTTTTTTGGCTGAAGCCTAAATGCAGAATCCTGGGCTCCTGCCCACATATCTGCTCCTGGGCCCAGAAACCTGCGTTGTTGTTGTTTTTTTTTAAGAACTTTTCTCCCGTTTTGCTGTTCATTTTATTCATTTATTTCTTGGCCACACCGTGCCGCATGCGAGATCGTAGTTCCCCCACCGGGATGGAACCCGGACGCCCTGCATTGGGAGCACGGAGGCCTAACCACTGGACCTCCAGGGAAGCCCCCAGACCCGCGTCCGTAGTGAGCACCCGCGTCCCTGGGGCGCAGCAAGCTGGGAGCAGAGCCTGCAGGCGCTGGCTGGCCACGGGCTGGAGCGGTGCCCCCTGGGGACGGGCCTGGGCCAGCGGCCCGCCTGTGGGGAGACTGGCGCCCGGCCTGGCCTGCTCAGCCGCCTTCTTCTTGACCTGTCACCCAGGGAACAGATCCTCCGCGTTAAGGCGGAAGAAGATAAAGTCCCGCTGCTGGTGGCGGGGAACAAGTCTGACCTGCAGGAGCGGAGGCAGGTGCCGCTGGAGGAGGCCAGGGCCAAGGCCGAGGAGTGGGGCGTGCAGTACGTGGAGACCTCGGCCAAGACGCGGGCCAACGTGGACAAGGTGGGCCCCACTCCCCCCTGCTGGTCCTGGGGAGCCGGGGGGCGCACCTTGCGGGGGTCCTGGCGTCACAGAAGCGGCACGGGGAGGGCGCGGCCTCCACAGACCCTGCCCTTGCGGCCTCAGCGGCCTGCGTGCTCCAGGCGCAGGGCCGGCGCCTCGGGGGCCCTTGATTTTGCCCTCGCTGGCGGGTTGGGTAGATTCGTTCTCTTCACCTCCCTGCCCACCGGCAGAGCCAAGGGGTCCAGTCTTTATAACTTCGTCTCTGCGTCCAGGGACCTCTCCCCTCTTCTCCACCCCCAGCGTAGTTTTTCGTTCAAATCTATGAAGTGAAGGAAAGGATGACCTTGACAGTGATGAACACCGATGGTTTGAAAACCCACCTTCCAGTGATTGCGATTGTGAGGGCTTCTTTTAAAAAGCTGAAGTTCAAATCGGTTGCCCCAGATCTAAAAGCTGAGGTCGTCTCTCTGCCGTCACGGCCTGGGTTCCCGTTAGACCGACGCGCGTCGCTTTGCAGCCAGGCTGTGGACTCGTCTGCGCCGTCTGTGCAGCACCTGAGTCCTTCACATCCCTTCTCCTTTCTCCTTTGCTTCTCACCTGAGGAGGAAGGGATTTGAAACCAGGTGTCACTTCAGCTTGCAGGGATGCTGGAAGGGCGCTGGTGTTGGAAGGCGTCTGCTTTGGAAGCCTCTCCAACAGTGTCAGTCTGTTAAGCTGCATCTGCCGTGCGAAGCAGGTTCACTCGGCAGCTCCTTTTTCTTTGATTGCTATCTCAGCTCTTACGTTGATTCTTGTGCATTTCCAAATCTTTCTGTTTCTATCAAATTGTTTTCTAGCTGTAGAATTAGAAAACACACAGAAAGTCCAGTCATGCAGTTTATTTTTAAAAAATCAGGAAGACTTTCCGGGCTTGGAACTGCCGACCTGGGGGGTGGGAGCTGTCACACCGGCTTGTCACCTCCCCTTCCTGGCCGGGACCGGCCGGACCTGCCAAACGGGAACCAGCAGAAGCTGACGCCGGGCAGCGTTGTGTTCGCTGTGAACAGGTCACAGGAAAGGAGGTTGTCGATGAGACTGGCGATGAACAGCTTGGGCATCACGCCCTTCCTTCCCCTCCCTCCGCCTGCCTTGCGCTGCTAGGACAAGGAAAAACCGGCGACATTCGAAGCTGTTCACGGTCCCTGTTATGGGGGAGAGGGCGCTTTCCTGAGAGGCTGAAGGAAAGGGGTGGTTAGGTCAGCCTGATGCAGTTTGGGGGGGTCCTTTCCTGCACCCTGAGCTAGTGGTGAGGGCTCGTGGAGTCCCCCACTCAGAAAGCCCAGTCTCGCTTTCCTCTAGAAAGTAACAGGAGCCTGTTCTGTGCAAACGTCCATAGGTCAAAGGCTACACTCAATCTCACACTTTCCGTCTTCTCTGTGAGAAATCTCAAATCTTTCTTTGTAGGAGGCGTACTTTGGCTGCTGGCACGTAATCGGTACCCGGGCGTGGTTGCTGGTAGCAGGGGGCAAAACCCAGGCCACTGTGACAACTGATAGCATGCTGGCATTCAGTGACACGTCTCATCAGCTGTTGATGAAGCCCCTTGCAGCTGGCATCACGCGGAGCGGGGCAGGGAGGGGCAGACGTGGGGAGGGTGACACCCCCTCTGCCCCTCCGCCCCCCTGCCCTGCGTCGGGGACCCCACTGTTTGTTCAAGCTGCATCCCCTCCTCCGCCCCATCTGCCACGTTCCCCGATCTGAGTCTGCCGTCGGGGTTAGGCTGCGAAGCCGTCCTACGTGATGGCGCTCGTGCCTTTAGGCTCAGGGCAGGACTCCTCAGCTCGGTGGTGGAACGTGGCGGGGCCCTGAGGCGCTCTCTTCCCTTCCCCGTCCCCGTGGTTGGAAGCCAGGACGCCTGCTGACTGTTGTCACTCTTGGTGTCTCTAACTGTTGTCGGTCTGTCCTGTGATGTCTCATCCTTCATCATACTTATCCCCAGAGCAGGTTTCATCAGTTTGAAATAGGCTGCTGAGTGGTACTAATGGTATGACGCTGCTGCCCTTAGCTTGACCCGTTGTATGATGTAAGCAGAGAGGTTTCCTTTGTGGAATTAGAATACGTTTCTAACGTTAGTTGTTCTCTTCTGCTCTAGACCTTTTGTTTTTTGGGGTTTTTAAAAAATTAATTTTTATTTTTGGTTGCGGTGCGCGGGCTTCTCATTGCGGTGGCTTCTCTCGTTATGGAGTGTGGGCTCTAGGCTCACAGATTTCGGTTGCTGTGGCACGCGGGCTCTAGAGCACAGGCTCAGTAGTTGTGGCGCATGGGCTTAGTTGCTCTGCAGCATGTGGGACCTTCCCGGACCAGGGCTCAAACCTGTGTCCCCTGCATTGGCAGGTGGACTTTTAACCACCACGCCACCAGGGAAGCCCTAGACCTTTTGTTTTTGATGGCCCATGGTTTTTAAGAATACACTTGGCTTTATATGTACTTTAAACTGTAATTACATATCCTGCTTGGTCGAATTGCTTCATTAAATCATTAAATGGCTTTTTCTTCCTTGTTCTTTTCACCCCTTCCTCCCCACCCCAGGTGTTCTTTGACCTCATGAGAGAGATCAGAGCAAAGAAGATGTCAGAAAACAAAGACAAGAACGGCAAGAAAAGCAGCAAGAACAAGAAAAGTTTTAAAGAAAGATGTTGTTTACTGTGAAGGCTAGGGTGCTGGACCATGTCGCTTGCCACTAAGGACAGAGGGCAGGTTCCTCAAGCCAAGACTCCAGTCGACCTCTCGGCCTGTTCCCCGCTCTCCCCAACCTCATTCACACACGCTTCTGTAAATGGGGAAAATATTTGTGAACCAGTGGCTGACAGAAGAAATAAGCCCTTGACTGTGCAATGGGATGGCTCCTCTGTCAGGAGGTTTCAGAGTTTCCTCCCTCTTTTCCTTCCTAAAATAAGCCACGTATGTAGTGCTACAGGCAGGCGTTAGCCAAGTGTTAATTAAGAAGGACTGTCCTAACTTCTTACTTTTTCCCCAGTTTTGTAACATAGCGTCTTTCGTTTTGAAATAAAAGTGTCTTATTTTTTATTAGGTCTTGGGAGGTGAGGGTGGGGTGAGGCTACCCCCACCCTTGTCAGCTCAACAGCAGTTCTCAGAAACATCCATTAGGTTCTAATGACGCTGGAAAATTCGGAGATTTTTGGGGGTCTCTTGGCCATACCCTGTGGATCTGAAGCAGAGCTAAAAAAGTAAAGTTGCATGGGGCCAAACAGATCAACGCCAAGCCCAGAAATCCTTCTCAATAGGAAAGAAGGAAGAGTTGTACCCTTCGTAGTTAAGTATCAGCCAGTTATAGTCTGTGTTGGCCGCTTTTCTCCTGCGGCATTCTGATTTTTGTGTAGGAGCTTCTTTTTTAATAAGTGACATGAAGACTCAAGAGCAATATACTGTATAAATGATATACTTTTCTAATCAGAATTTTTAAAAGAAGTCCTTTGGCTAAATCCTCTCGTAATTGCCAGTCATAGGGTCAGGGCCCTCCTTCTCCATCCGCAACCCACGCTCTGTCCTGACCCACTCCTCCTGGCAGAGGCTGAGAGGACCTTTTCTTTTGTTTCTTTCAATGTAGCCCAAGTTCCTCTGAAGAACGTGATGACTTAAGATTGTGTTCTAAACTCATGAAGCCAGAGCCTGTGCCAGACACCCGCTACCTCTCATAGAATTGCTCAGTAAATTCAGAAGAAGTGGAGAAGCCACTGCCCCTTTACCTCTGAGAACTGGCTGCTGTTTCTAATATAAATTTGTTTCTGAGACAGCCATCTCGTTAGTTAGAAAAAGATTTTTATGGATGAGATATTGTCTTTCTTGTGTCAATATTCTGAATTCAGCAGTCAGAAAATTTTTCATGAGCAAAGGAGGACAGCCATAAAAACCCAGTGCTCAGCATACTTTTCCCCATTTTTCAGAAGTGATATTTCACATATAGGTGCCAAAAGTGAATTGGGGTGGGGAGAATGGGAACCCTTGGAATTTATGGTTATTACAGAAATTGTAGAAATTATGATCTGACCGGAAAACAAACAATCTTGTATCACCTCCCAAAGAATCGTGGGCTTATTTTCAATTAAAAAAAGCAGAAATTTACAGTTTTTCAGAATTTCAGCCTTCTTATTTTATCCTTTTGTCATATATGTGAAATGTAAGTATTAAAGAAAGGGACAGGTATTCATTATTGTTCTTGTTAGATGTTCTGCAAACTTTATTTCAATTAATTTTTTGAATTGGGCTGGGGGAAATAAATTTATAAGTATAAACAGTAACTTTAACTTCACCTTTCCTTTGGAAGAGATGACTACTTTTCTTAAAATTTAAAAAGTTGAAGGTAATCACACTCTTGCATTTTTTGAAACAACCTTTTTCTTTTCCTCCTAGTTTGCCACCTGTTTGATATCAGTTCTGGTCGAGAGCAGGTAGGTTTGGAATATGTACACATAAATTAAGGATGGTATGAACTGTTCCATGCTATGGAAATTATTCTTAGTTTATGCCATTAGTGTATTTCTGAAACTGTATTTAACTGGATAGTGATCAGAAATGGATCTTCCCAACAAAATGATTTATAGAGATGAGATTCTTTTCCATAGGAAAATAAGGAAGCAATGTTCTTTATAAATTTGAAACATACTACCTTGCTAAATGACTAGATATTGTGTCCATAGGCTAACTATTTTTCTGAAGTCTTCCTTCTAGAAATATTTGAGCACCTGCTTGGTGTCAGGCTCTATTCCAAGTGCTGCAATATTGTGTTGAACAAGATAGGCCAGAGCTCTATTCTCTTGGAGCTTATGCTTTAGTGAGGAAAGAGACAAATAATTGAAAATATCACAGCAAGTGCTTTGATGATCATAGAACTGGGTAATAGGATAGGAAATGTTTCTGGGCCATAGAGCTGATTTCAATTGGATGGTCAACAAGTGTCTGAAAGGGAGTGACATTTAAGCTGAGACCTGAAGGAGCCACGTGAGCTCCCAGGCTTGGGAGCAGCTGGTCCGGAGGCCCTCACTCAGGTGTTCAGGAAAAGACCCTAGAGGCCAGCACATGGCTGCAGTGTGATGAGTGGCAGAGCAGTAGAAAAAGACCTAACAAACAGGCGATAGATTCAAAAAGTGATGCAGGGGAACAATACCTAGATGTATAATTCCCTACAAGTGTCCTAGTTCATCAAATATCAGACACCACTGATTATAAGACATCCCCATAATTTATGTACCACTAAGGAAAAACCTGCCAAATTATGTGACTCCATCCTGACACCAATGACATGAATATGTGGGGAAAAAAATAGATGCTGTAGATTAGGCGAATGATATATAAATTTAAACTAAATGAAATTGTGGTATAAGATTCACCTATGTTGGTCTAAACACTATATTGTAATAAAATAGTATAGAAGCTTAACAGTGGATAAGTATTAACAGTGGGAAAGTACCCCACGGTGTAGGCAGGGGTGAGGGCAGTGCCAACAACAGTGTACCTTGTGAGCCTGCACAACGGGTAACAGGTGGCAGCACAGAGCACACTCACAGGTGGACAGCTCCAGTGGAGGAGTCCTCATCCTCTCCCAGTGGGAGTGCCCCAATCCCTCCTACCTTGCACTGCATCTCAGAAATGGGCTGGGGCTTCTACTCCAACAGCTGGGAAGCAGACCCCACCCCTGACAGGGCTGCGACGGTCACAGAGCAAATAGGAGGTGCTGGGTAACATCTGGTGCAGGCTCTGGTCACAACACCAGTCACACCCCTGTCAAGCTGGTAACAGCACATGCTGAGGAAGGAGGCAACAGGCACCCACACTAAAAGCAGCCCTGGCACCGAAAATATTAAACCCATGCAGGCTACACAGGGATGCTCCCACATTAAAATAGCCCTCCAAGACCACAGTAGATAATTGTTTCTCCTAAACTAATAGAGCAAGAGAAATACAAGTAAAATGAAGCATCACAGGAACCACTCCCAGTGAAAAGATCAAGAGAGCGCCCCTGAAAAAACAATGAAATGGAGTCTAATAGACACCACATTCAAAAAGGAGATAATGAAAATACTGAAGGAATTAAGAAAGGCAAAAATGCAGATTACTGTAAAAAGGAACTAGAAACTAGAAGGAGGAGCCAAGAAAACTTAGAAACCATTTGCTGAGATGAAAGCTGAGCTCAAGGCAGTGAACAGAAGAATGAATAATGCAGAAGAACAAATAAGTGATCTGGAAGAGAGAATAATGGAAATCACCCAGCCAGGACAGCAGACAGGAAGCCAAATGAAAAAAAAAAAAAAAAAAAAAGCAATCTAAGAGACTTACAGGATAATATAAAGTGTGCCAATCTACGCATAATAAGGATTCTAGAAGGAGAAGAAAGAGAAAAGGGGATTGAAAATGTATTTGAAGAAATTATGGCTGAAAACTTCCCAAACCTAAAGAAGGAAACATCCAGATACAGGAAGCACAGAGGGTCCCAAAAAAGATGAACACTACAGACCTACACCAAGACATCATATAATTAAAATGGCAAGTTAAAAGAGGATTCTGAAGGCAGCAAGAGAAAAAGAGTTAATTACCAGGGAACCCCCCCCCATAAGACTATCAGCTGATTTCTCTACAGAAATGCTGCAGGCCAGGAGGGAGATGCAAAATATGTTCAAAGAAGTCCTAAGGGAAAAATCCACAACCTAGGAAACTCTACCCAGCAAGATTATTTAGAATAGAAGGAGAGAGAAAGAATTTCTCAGACAAGCAAAAACTAAGAGAATACAGCAATACTAAACCTACTCTAAAGGAAATATTGGAAGGTCTTCTCTAAATATAAAAGAAGCAAGAAGCCATAGGAAAGAGGAAATCACAATTGGAAAGTAAATCACTTAAGCCAGTATACAGATTAAAAGGAAAAAAAAACAAAATTCTTATGAAAGCGATGATAAGCACAATGAACAGCAAAAGGATAAACATGAAGATGTAAAGGAGGACATCAAAATCATAAAATGTGGAGGAGGAGAGCAAGAAAATATAGATTTTTTTTCTTTTTTTTAGAATGTGATTGAACCTATATGATTGTCATCTAAAGCAAGCAGATACAGGAAGTGGTTAACATACTTGAAAAACAGGGTAACCACAAATCAAAAACATATAATTGATTCACAAACACCAAAAAGAAGAGAACACAAGCATAATATAAAAGGAACACATCAAACCACAAAAGGAGAAAAAAAAAGGAGCAAAGAAGAAACACAGAATCAACTGGAAAACAAGGCTGAACTGCCAATAAATAAATACATATTTATCAATATTAGCTTAAATGTCAATGGACTAAATGTTCCAATCAAGAGACAGAGAGTGGCACATTGGATAATAAAACAAGAGCCTACAATATGCTGTCTACAAGAGACCCACTTTAGGGTAAAGGACAGACACAGACTGAAAGTGAGGGAGTGCAAAAAAGATACCTCCTGCAAACAGAAATGACAAGAAAGCGGGGTGTCACAATAATATCAGACAAAACAGACTAAAACAAAGGCCATAAAGAAAGATAAAGGACACTATAGAACGATAAAAGGAGCAATACAAGAAGAGGATTTTACACTCGTCAACATATATGTTGGAGCACCCAAATACATAAATACTAACAGACATAAAGGGAGAAATTGACAGGAATACAATAGTAGTAGGAGACTAACACCACAAGTCAATGGACAGATCTTCCAGAGAATCGATAAGGCAACAGAGATCCTAAATGATACAATAGAAGAGTCAGACTTAATTGATATTTTCAGGACATTACCTCCCTCCCAAAACCAGACTATACATTCTTTTCAAGTGCACATGGAACATTCTCTAGGACTGACCATATACTAGGGCACAGAACAAATCTTGATGAATTTAAGAATACAGAAATTATTTCAAGCATCTTTTCTGACCACAGTGGGATGGAACTACAGATCAACCTCAGAAAAAGAAAAGAGAAAAAAACGATTACATGGAAACTAAACAACATGCTATTAAAAAAAAAAAAAAAGGGTCAATGAGGAAATCAAAGGAAAATTTAAAATACCTTGAGACAAATGACAATGAAAACACAACCATACAAAATCTATGGGATGCAGCAAAAGCATTTCTTAGAGGGAAGTTCATAGCAATACAACCTGTTCTCAAGAAACAAGAAAAATCTCAAACGACCTAACCTACTGCCTAAAAGAATTAGAAAAAGAAGAACAAACAAAACCTAAAGTCAGCAGAAGGAAGGAAATAATCAAGATCAGAGAGGAAATAAATAAAATAGAGATTTTAGAAACAATAGGAAAAAATCAATAAAACCAAGAGCTGGTTCTTTGAAAGGGTAAACAAAATTGACAAACCTATGGCCAGGCTCACCAAGAAGAGAAGACAGAGAACCCAAATAAAATAAGAAATGAAAAAGGAGTAACATCAGTCGATACTGCAGAAATACAAAATATCATAAGAGAATAATATGAACAATTATAAGCCAACAAATTTGACAACTTAGAAGAAATGGAAAAGTTTCTAGAAACATACAGTCCACCTATATTGAATCAAGAAGAAAGATAATTTGAACAGACCAATTACTAGAAGTGAAATAGAATCTGTTAAAAAACAAACAAACAAACAAAAACCAAAGAAACTCCCTACGAATGAAAGTCCAGGACCAGATGGCTTCACAGGTGAATTCTACCAAACATACAAAGAAGAATTTATACCGATCCTTCTCAAACTCTTCCAAAAGATTGAAGAGGAAGGAACATTCCCAAAGACATTCTGTGAAGCCACCAGCACCCTAATACCAAAACCAGACAAAGATACCACCAAAAAAGAAAATTACAGGCCAATATCTTTGATGAATATAGATGCAAAACTTCTCAACAGAATAGTAGCAAATTGAAACCAACAACACATAAAAAAGGTCATACACCACAACCAAATTGGATTCATCCCAAGTTCACAAGGATGGTTCAACATATGCATATCAATTAGTGTGATATACTACAGCAACAAAAGACAAAAACCACATGATCATTTCAATAGGTGCAGAAAAAGCATTTGACAAAATTCAACATCCATTCATGATAGAAACTCTTACCAAAGTGGGTATAGGGGGAACATATCTCAACATCATAAAAGCTATTTATAACGAACCAACAGTCAGTATAATACTGAAAAGCCGAAAGCCTTTCCACTAAAATTTGAAACAGGACAAGGATGCTCACTCTCACCGCTTCAATTGAACATAGTATTGGAAGTCCTAGCCACAGCAATC